GGGCATGCAGCGCTTCTCGAGCGCGTATCTACAGGAGCCTTTTGGCCAGGAGATCGGCGTTTCCCTGACGAGCCCGATCGACAAACATGCCCTCGGTGTACTGCTGCGCGCCTCCACCTCCAGCCCGTCGAAGACATTTTACACCAACGATGGAAGTGCCCATGTATTAACGCAACAGAGCACACAGCGTTCGACCTCCACCCGCATGTGGAAGGCGAACATGAAGAGTGGGCCTGTGTTTGGCATCGTGGAATCGTCCCGATCCTCTGGATTTACCCTCACATTGACAAGTTCCCTGCAGGTGTTGATCAGGATCAGCGTCTCCAGCTCCCCCCAGATGCCTCTGTGGGCTCTGATGGGAGCGGAGGCGACTTCGCCGGTGATCCGAGGCTCCGTAGATGTGACAGGGGTTTTGTTATTTGGTCGCAGGATGCCATCCTTGGGGAAGCCCGGGGCCCTCTTCCCGGATGGCGCCAGGCGGTGCCCTTGGCGGAGCTGGAAGGCCTCGCCCAGGCCCTCAAACACACCGCGGGACCAGCCACTTTTGTTGTACATCGCGCCTACGTTTTGGAAGAAAATCATGCTGGCCCAGGCCAGGCCCCGCCCTTGCATTCCGTGGCATGGGTTAGATTTCGGCATGAATTCAACGCCAGGCCAGGGGAAGCGCAGCTGATCAATATTAAGAGCCACCTCGCATAGGCTGACATAGGCCGACTTGTCTCCTTGGGCGAATTCAGATGTAATGGGGCTGCTGATGAGGCAGCTAAAAAAGGGAGCTGCCCTCACCAAGCTTCTCCGGAATCCCTTGCCGAGGTTGCCCGAATCGGTTCCCTGGCCAAGAAGGTTCTGGAAAACGTGCTTGAGGTTGGTATGGCGGAGGTCCTGGCCAGGCAAGCTGACATTAGAGCCCCAGGAGCCCCGACCCCAGCCGATATCGTTGCCGCCCGCGGAGGGCGGCGCGATGTCCGAGTTGCTGCACGGATGGACGCCCGCCAAGCTACCACCCACCAGGTGGTTCCACGGCGAGGATCCTCTTTTTGTTCTGTATGCCTGACGGCACCGACCCGCCAGGTGGCCACCAACGAGTGGCTGGCGGCCCCGTGTAGCCGCCTTCCCCATCATATCCAAAGTGCCCACCGAGCTCGGTGCCTGCGCGGGATGCGGCGGTGCGAAGTGCGTGGTGGTTCGGGGCGCATTCGCTTCGATAGCTTGGGGAAGGAATGCCAGCGCCCAACAGCTGCTGGCAAGAAAGCGTTGGACAGGCTCGCCAGAGGACTCCTCCCACCCAATCGGGATGCCTGGCCAGACGACTCAAGGCCAATTCCACGGTGAGCCATCCAAGCCCACCTTTCAATGGCCCTGGCATCTGTTCCAGATTCCGGCCCTCGTGTCGTCTTGCCCCAGGAGGAGGACGGGAGGATGATAGGAGGAGGAGGAGGAGGAGGAGGAGGAGGAGGAGGAGGAGGAGGAGGAGGAGGAGGAGGAGGAGGAGGAGGAGGAGGTGGAGCAGCAGCAGCAGCAGCAGAGGGAGGGAGACTCTCGGAGGAAGAGGGCGAGAAGTAGGAGGAACATTAGCAGTAGCAGCAGAAGGGGATGGGGGGGGTGCATGTCCAACCCCGTCCTCCATTATGGATGGATGGCTTGGTGACCTCCTCCTCCTCCTCCTTTTCCTCCTCTTCCGTGGCCCCGCGGCCATCCCTCCCCCCAAGGCGGCCGCGGTCACCCCGCCCCCCTTGGCCGGCGCGCGCGTGTTCCGGCCGGTTCCGCAGAGGCAGGGCAGGCATAGGTGGGTCGGGGGCGCAAAGATGGGAGCAGCTAGCGCTCCTCGTGCACCCATGCGCTTGGGGTCACGATGCCTGCCCCTGATAGCCTACTCGGTTGCGCGCTGTATGCCCCCGCCACGGCAGCGACTTGATCTGATTCGGCGGCCCAGCGCCAGTCGCACGGGTTTCGCACGCGGCCCTAAAGGGCAAAAGAGGGGCTCCAGGCTGGACTTGTATTGCTCAGGGCATCCTGACCCTACGGGCCCCATGCCAGCGACGTCCGACCGACCCCCACCCCCACGGGGATGGCATTTCAGCTCTCAGCCCCGCCACCCCAGCCTCCCAGCTGGGATTATGCCACTCGCGATCCGAGGGGAACAGCGCACATTCCCACCCAGGTGGGAACGTGTGCTGCGCGCCAGGGAGGAGGGCCCAGCGCAGATCCCAGACATCCGAACGGACCGTCGAAAGTTTATGCTTATGCCGTTGTCTCTTCGTCTCGCTCTGAGGGTCATCGAATCGCCTGGGGCTCTGGACTCTGAAATGCTGCAGGCGAGTGGTGGTGGTGGTGGTGGTGGTGGTGGTGGGGGGGGGGGGCACCGCGCGCAGAGGGGGGTGGGGGGAGGGGGAAGGGCTTCGTAGAAACACCCCTGCTCCTTAGAGGGCGCGGGCCTTACTCTATAGATGCAGGGCTGGCGCCTTCTAAGGAGCATCCCTCCTTCTAAGAAGCCCCCCCCTCCCTCCACTCCCTTGTGCGCGCCGGCAAGGGTCAGGAGGGGACAACATGCAGACACAACTAATCGTCGATCCCAGGAAAGACTGGGAAAAATCCAGGGAGCGGGGGGGAAAACAAAACTCCAGAAAATGTTGAAAAATAAAGGGAATCCTGGGATTGGTGTCACTTTATTTGTGTGTCCTTTGGCCCCTTCACCCTTGTGCGCGACAGCAAGGGGGGGAGGTGGACGGGGCTAGGACGAGGATGCACACGTTCCAGAGCGTTCTGGATCACTCCCAGAGCTCTCCGGAACGCTCGAGAAGGGCGCGGCGCCCGAGACATCTTCCAGAGCCGCCAGATCTGAGAGATTCTCGATTCATCCTCATGCGAGTTTACACGCCGGTCGTTGAAAGTAGGCTTTTTTGGACTCCCAGAGAGGGGCGGGCGGCGGAGGAGCGGGCGGCGCCCGCGGTGGGGCGGCCGTGCGGGGGCCTTCCCGATGGGGGCCCCGCGGAGGTCCCTGGGCGCTGCCGGGGGAGGGAGGGGCGCACCCGAGGCCCTGCGGAGGGGCTCCGCTGCTCGAGTCGCCGCGGTGGCTGCCAGAGTTAAGGCGGGCTTGTCCCCCTACAGGAGGAATATTCAAAAATAGTCAGGGGATTATTTTTTGACTACTTTTGACCGTTTTGGAGTTTTTGTTGGGGAATTTTTTATTTGTCGTCAAACATCCCCCTGTAGGGGGACACGCCCGACTTAATGCTAGAGGGATGCAAGCCGATCGTTGATATAGGTATTGTGCGATTCCCAGGTCTCGATCTACTTTTGGGTGCCTTGCTACTTCAATCGTCGAGTGTGTTGTTCTGTTCCTTCCTCTTCACGGGGCGGGCGGAAGCCCAATCTGTTTCCAGCGCCTTCCTATGTCATGTTCCTGCCCACTTCTTTTTACCAACGGGTACGGGGTGATAAGTGGATGACAAGGTGGGTTACGTCTGGCCCAGCCAAGCTCAGAAGCGAATAAGGACGTACACGTACATGAGTCCACGCTGTTTTCGAAAGCACGCGTTGCACGAACGTTCGTGTCGCGAGGCTGGTCTTCCGGATTCATGGGCCGTATTCATGTACGTGGCTCGGCGCGTACGTCCTTTTAGTGGATTCCCTACAAGCGCAGACGTACGTGGCTTACACAAGTGCCCCAAGTTGTTTAGGGGGGGTCGCAAACTCCGCTACGTGTGCGGTGGCCACTTGGCCCGGATCCTTACCCACCTAAGCCACTCAGGGCATTTGCCACCCACTTGTAAGTGAGGTTCGGCCAGGCAAAGCCACCTTGGCATCCACTTACACTCCCTCATCCATTTAGCAACCACCGTGGTGATCCAAGTAGGAGTCTCTGCCGGGGGCTTGCAGCCTCCTGGTAATTGGGTTGCAGGCCAGGGGGGAGGGGGCGGAGGGGGAGAAGAAGAGAGGAGAGAGGAGCGAGGGGCAAAATAGGTGCGCACGCATCTTATCTGACGTCCTACCCCTCCCTCCCATCCCTTACAATTGCGTAGAACTTCTCTATATTCGCACATTCGGATGTCGAGCAGGGCAATGAGCCCGAGAGGGTACGAGATGTATGGTAGTGTACGGCGTAGCACGGCGTAGAACAGCACTGCTGAGCGTAACATGTTCGGAGGGAAACCAGACATGACGCAAGACGAACATGTAAAACAATGGTTCGGGAAGAGCGGAAGCGTAAGATGAGAGCCACCGCTGTAGCGAGAACACGATGTGGAAGCTCCGCAACAAAGACGTGAGGTCAGCGCTGCAGCGGGAATAGGATTTGGAGGGGCAGAGGGCCAGAACATGGAGCCAACGCTGTAGCAGGAGCGCCATTCGGGAAGCACCGAAAACGTTCGGATTTGAAGGACGCATGCGATCGATCACCTTGGAGGGATCCTATGTGTGAAAAGGCAATACGCGGAGGGGGGCAGGCTACGACCTCGGGGTCTTCGGGGGAGAGAGGAGATGCGTGTTGATATCGTATCGGTGTGGAGGGAAGGGCAGGTGGGGGGGAGAGAGAAGAGAGGGGAGTAATTAGGGAGGAGGGAGTAGGGTGGAATGATAATTCAGGAAGAGTGAGTGTGAAAGGTTGGGAGGACGGGAATAATGATTCATGCTGGTTTTGATGAGGAGAGTGAGAAGGTGGGGAGGGGAGGAGGAGGAGGCAGAGGAGGAGGAGGAGGCAGATGATGAGGAGGAGGAGGAGGAGGAGGAGGAGGAGGAGGAGGAACATCATTACGAACACGACAACGAAACGAAGATGACGACGACGACGACGACGACGACGGCCGCGGCAGTGGCGGCGGCGGGAGCGGCGCGCGGCGACGGCGACAACGGCCCGTGGAGGTCCCGCGAGGTCCCGTGGAGGTCTCCCGAGGTCCTCGGAGGGGTTCCCGCAGGCCCCAAGAGGCCCCCGACGAAGGCCCTCGGCGCTCGAGGCCTCGGCCTCTGCGAGGCCCCTGGCCTCGAGCGGCAAGGGCGCCCAGGCCCCCGTGGACAAGGCCAAGCAGAAGCAGAAGGAGAAGATCGCCGAGGAGGGCCTCGGCCACGATGCACCGCCGCTGCCCACGGCGGTGTGGGTGTGCACCCGTGATGCGCTGCTGCCGTCCCCCTGCCTCCTCCCGCGGGACCCCTCGCCTCGCATCCGCGTGACGACGGGCGCCGTCCCGCGGGGCCTTGGCACCCTCGGGAGGAAGCATCCCGGGAGCGGCGTTCCGCTCGACCCGGGGCCGCTGGGAAGCGACTCCTGGCCGTGAGCGCCCCTTTTGGTTTTGCCTCTCCAGGACGGCAGCGCAGGCTGCCTGCTGCGGGGAGGGGTGTGTGTGTGGCGTCGTTTGGTGGTCGACGTGGAAGAGTCGCTCCCCCGGGGAGCCCCAGCTGTCCCCGCCATGCCGTGAAGGAAGGGAGTGCCGAGGGACCTGGCATCGCTCGGACGTGTGCATTTTTCTCTTCGGCGAGGACCATCGAGGAGCATCCTTGATCATGTGGCACAAAAAACACACGCACGAAACCGGAAAAACACAGGGAATGGACGTCCGAGCGATGGCCAGGGACTGGTTCCGTAGCCTGAGTCGTTCTTTTGCCGGTTCAGGGCCCGTGGAGGGCCTCAGAGGCCCAGAGACGGCGAAACATCGCCAGGACCCCTGTCCACCACGAGCCGTCGCGTTCATGCTCGCCGCTCGCTGCTCGCCGCTCGCCCTGCCCGCCGTCTGTCATCGTCTCACCACGGCGACAGTCTCTATCGTGAGCAGTAGCCTAGAGGTAGCGGTACGCAGCACAATATATGCATCGTGCGGCTGCAGCCTTCTTTCCCTTCAGATTCCGTGCCCAGCTGCGCGTAAGCGCCCTCGTGCCGCGCTGGCGGCCCGCTTGAGCCGCGGTGTAAGGTCGCTATGTCATGTTGCGGAAGACCCCCGTCTGTTCGTCGCTCACATGTGCTTGCCTCTTCGTCGCCTCCACCGCCGAGAGGCCTTGCTACGTTGCATCTTCGGGGGACCTTGTCTGTCCTGCTAGCTTCGTTCTTTTCTTGTACCGGACGCGGATTCGACACGGATCCAACGCGGCTTCGACGTCGATTCATTGTTGATTCGGTTCGTTCAACATGGCTTCGACGCGGATTCGGCACGGATAGTCGGGGTGATTGGACAGAGATCGAGGGAATAAACACGCTGATCATGATCAAAATGTCCCGAGATCTTGTCGTCGCTATGCCGACCGTGGCCGTTTCGCGAGGATCGTCCACGAATCGACGCCGACCAAGATCGACACGACGTTTCCGCATTCAGTCTTGCTCAGGTTCCCTGTCTTCTTTCGGATGGGGCCAAGACGACGACAAATTCGTTCCAGAGCTCTCCAGAACGCTCTCAGAGCGTTCGGGAACGCTCCCACAAGGCCGCGGCGCCCGAGACATAGCTTCCAGAGCCGCCGGACCTCAGAGATTTCCGATTTATCCTCATCCGATCTTACCCTCGCCCTTGCATCGTCTTCTTCTTCCCAGGATCCCGCACTGGGGGTGTATGCCCTGGTGTGTGTGTGTGTGCCCGTATGTGTGTGTGTGTGTGTGTGTGTGTGCTCGTGTGTGTGAGAGAGAGTTCGATCGGCTTTTGCACCGAACCGCCCAAACCAGATGCCCCCCGGGCCGCTGCCAGCTCCCACTAGTCACTACTCGCCGATCGGTGGGGTATGTGCGGGGAGCGCCTGCTTCTGGCACTCTTCCCCTCCCAGAGATCACCACCCACCAAACCAGCCCAACCCAACCCGAAGGCTCAAATTTACCGTCGATTTCCAGTGGGGGGGGTCGGGGAACATCGAAAAAACACGCGTGGAACCCTTACCCCCCCCGACCCGAAATTCGGGTCTTCGGGTTGGGTTGGGGTGGTCTGGTAGGTAGTTAAGAGAGGGGCGCCCGATGATGCAGCGACCGCCCCGGCCGGCGAGCCGCCCCTCCCTCCATGGCGAGCGGGCCCCGCCCTCGCCGGCGGCCCTCCGGCGGCCCTCGGGCGGCCTCCGCGGGGCCTCTCGGAGGCCGCGGCGCTCCACCAGCAAGCAGCCGTCGCCGTCGCCGTCGCCGTCGCCGTCGCCGTCGCCGTCGCCGTCGCCGCCGTCGTCGTCGTCGTCGTCGTCGTCGTCGTCGTCGTCGTCGTCGTCGTCGCCGCCGAGGCTTCGAGGCTCCGAGGCGTCGAGGGCCGAGGACGCTGGGCGTCCCCTCGGCCCGTTTCCGGGGTCCTCTGGCCTCCTGCTGGCCTCGAAGGGCCAGAGGCTTGTTGGACCTCATGAGGCCTCCGTCGTCGTCGTCGTCGTCGTCGTCGTCGTCGTCGTCGTCGTGAATGCCAGGGCCTGGAGTGCGGCAAGGAAGTGGGGAGGAGGGTGGTGGGCGTGTGCAGGAGGGACAGCATTCTACTACCTACGTGCCAGTAGCACGGGCGCGGATTCACGGAAGGCAGGAGGCGTCCAGAGATGCAGATTTGTTTTTTACACCCGTGAGTGTACATATATATATATATATGTATATACAATAATATTAGCCAGTGTGGGCCCCAGGCAGTGACTGCTATGTTGTTTAAGCTACGTGTTGCGAGCTATGTTGTGTAATAAGCTATGTTGTGTAAGCTGTGTTGTGTGAGCCATGCTGTGTAAGGTGTACGGCGTGACCTGCGTGGTGTGATCTATGCGGTGTAAGCTATCCATTGTGAGCCATGCTGTGTGAGCCATGTTGCGTACACGCCCAGGGCACGAGGTGCTCACCAACGCCAGCGTGGCACAAACGGGCGGGCATCAGGCGACACCTCTTCGTACCCTTCCAGCGCGGGGTACCCACGAGGCGCCGACGGGCGGGCACCGGGCGAAACCTCGGCAGGCGTGCTGGGCGCTCACGAGGCGCCCACGGGCGGGCCACGACCGGGCAACGACGGGGCACCAGCCGGGCACCAGTTATGGAACCCTGGCCCGGCACACCCATCCAATTCTTCTAGGAAGATTCAGTACGAGTTGCCGAGTGCCAGTGCTGTCTGGGGAACACATGGAAATACAACCAGCTGCCTCCGGCAATTCCTGCCACCGTGCCAGCGCAGCATGCGTGCATGCATGCATGTATATATGTATGTCTGTTTGTATGTATGTATGTATGTACGTCTGTCTGTCTGTCTGTCTGTCTGTCTGTCTGTCTGTCTGTCTGTCTGTCTGTCTGTCTGTCTGTCTGTCTGTCTGTATGTATGTATGTATGTATGTATGTATGTACATGTGAATGTATGTGTGTGTGTATGTATGTAGGTCTGTCTGTCTGTCTGTCTGTCTGTCTGTCTGTATGTATGTATGTATGTATGTATGTCTACATGCATGTGTATATGTATGTATGTATGTATGTATGTATGTATGTATATATATATAGATGTTTGTATGTATGCATGCATGCATGCATGTATGTATGTATGTATGTATGTGTGCATGCATGTATGTATCTATGTTTAAATATGTATGTATGTATGTATGTCTGTATGTATGTATGTCTGTATGTACATATGTGTATGTATGTGTAAGCGCACACTTGAATACCTATACGACCACCCTTCGGGTGATCAGGAGGTTCGGGGGGGGAGAAACCAACGTCTCACTCGATCGGTCTCACTATCGATCTCACTATCGGTCTCGCTCGATCGATCTGACTCGATCGATCTAACAATCGATCTCACTCGATCTATTTCATTCGATCGATCTCACAATCAATCTGACTACTATCGATCTCACAATCGATCTCACTATCGATTTCACTATCGATCTCACAATCGATCTCATATTCGGTCTCACTATCGATCTCACTATCGATATTATAGGCGATCTCAAAAACAACGTCATCATCATCATCATCAACATCGTCGTCATCAACGTCATCAACATCATCATCCCCATCATCGGGACACCATCACCATCATCACCTCATCACCATCATCATCATCATCATCATCATCATCATCATCATCATCATCATCATCATCATCGGGACACCATCATCGTCACCATCATCATCATCATCATCAACATCATCATCATCGGGACACCATCATCATCAGGAGCATCGGAACATCACCATCATCATCATGTCATCATCATCATGAACATCATCAACATCATCATCATCGGGACATCATCATCATCAGCAACATCATTATCATCAACATCATCATCGGGACACCATCATCATCGTTACCATCATCATCACCATCATCATCATCTTCGGGACACCATCGTCATCAACATCAGCATCATCATCATCGGGCTACCATCATCAAATCATTATCATCACCTCATCATCATCCTCATCATCAACATCATCATCATAATCGGGGCACCATCATCGTCATCATCATCATCGGGACACCATCATCATCACCATCATCAACAGCATCATCATCAACCTCATCATCATCATCATCGGGACACCATCATCATATTCATCATCATCAGCATCATCATCATCAGCATCAACATCATCATCGGGACACCATCATCATCACCACCATGGCCATCATCACCACCATCATCATCAACATCGTCAACAGCATCATCATCATCACCGGGACACCATCAGCATCACCGACATCATCATCATCATCATCAACATCATCGACATCATCATCATCATCATCATCATCATCATCATCATCATCATCATCACCACCACCACCACCACCATCATCATCATCATCATCATAATCATCATCATCATCGGGACACCGACGGGACACCGGCGGGACACCGGCGGGTTACCGCGCCCCACCGGCCCCCGGAAAGGAAACATTTGGTTCGGCCGCGCCTCAGCCGGAGGCGGGACACCGGCGGGACACCGCGCCGCACCGGCCCCTGGAAAGGAAACATTTGGTCCGGCCGCGCCTCAGCCGGAGGAGACTTTCTTCTCGCCCGCCCACGCAGCTTCGCCTCGCCCGCACGCACACCACGCACGCACACGAAACCGAAACCGATTTCCCGGTAGGGGGGCTCTCCGTTCCACTTCGTTCTCGTCCCCTCACCTCCGATGTACGCGTCGATGTATGTGTAGACACATTTGTAAGCATACAATGGTTTCAGCATGCATATGCAGATACATATAAGAGCACGTCGGCACACAAATACATACGTATATATCATGTGCTGGAGTACCAGGGGCTAGGATTGGCGCCCAGCCGTGAGGTGTTCATCCTCGGGGTCTTGTCCACCCCCCCAAAAAGACAGCCCAC